CGTGCCCAAGATCTGGAGAGGAGAATGGAGGAGAAGGGATTGCGGCGTGACAATCGCCCCTGGGGGGGTGATTTCTCGCTTTCTGTCTTTATGTCTCTCTCTGTCTGTCTGGCGAGCGCACGCGCCCTACAGTGAAAATCTCTCCAAAAAAATAAATAAATAAATAAAAAATAAATAAACTCAAGCTTACATGATCTGCAAAATAAATGCACTTGTCAGAAAGAAAAATATCTTGGCTGAGTCTAAGATTATTGAATTGTAATACAGTAGGCTATAGATATTACTTTATTCTTCCAATGCTACACAAATAAGCAATGTCATCATTTTTTCTTTGTTCTCTTCTGCCTGTAAGTCTTTCTCTATTTCTCTCCTCCCCACCCCGCTCCCAAGGACTCAAACCATGACATGTGGGATCCAAGTGAAATAACCACTATACTACCTGCTGGTCCCCAAAGACAAAAAATCCTAAAAATGGCAAGAGAGAAACACAAAGGTTGCTCCATTAGACTAACACCGGATCTCTCAACTGAAACAATGCAGGCAAGGAAAGAATGAGAAGACATATTTAAATTCTGAAAGAAAAGCAATTTCAGCCAAGAGTACTATACCCAGAAAGATTATCGTTCAAATGGGAAGGAGAAATAAAATCATTCCCAGGTAAACAGATGCTGAACAAATTCATCAAAAAGAAACCGGCTCTTCAGGAAATATTTAAGGGACAACTACACCAGGAAAACTAAAGGGAGACAAACAGAAGTAAAGGAACACAAAAGAACTAGAAAAAAAGGGTAAATTCACACATATTGATAAAAACATTGAATGTTGGAACTAAATTTCCCAACTAGAAGTCTAAAAATGCACATTCAACTGTGTTAAACACAAGCAGGTTTCAATAAAAATTCACCAATTATCTGATAGATAGTTGTCTCCAAAAGTGTTAATATATATTTATTATTACCATTACTAATTAAATAAAACAAAATAATAAAGGAAAAATCCAATCTTTCTTAAAATGAATTTAAAGAAGGCTCATATCAAGAACTTTGTAAAGTCTATAAATCACCAAATGACTGGCTTTCCCATATCTTCACTTTTTTTTTTGGGGGGGGGGAGAGGTTTTTGCTACAGGGCATGTGTGCTCTCCAGAAAGATAGAGACAGAAAGCGAGAAATCACCCCCCCCAGGAGGATGGCCACGCTGCAATCCCTTCTCCTCTATTCTCCTCTCGGGATCTTGGGCACTCACGCACATGTGCCCAGTTTAAGTATAAGCCACCAGGTCCAAGACTCAAACCGCGGTCAACTACATGGGAGGCCAGTGGCATATCCATTATGCCAACTGCTTGTTCCTCCACATGTTCACTTTTAAACATCTCTTTCCAATTTTGTTTTGTTTTTGCTTTTTCAAACTTATTTCCTTACGGTAAGTATAGTACTATGGTCTTATAAAAACAGTGTGTGAATAAAAGTGTTCTATTTATATCTCTTTCTAATGAGCTACTATTATGTACTGACACAATTTTACCTATCTCTAGCTAGAACAATGATTAATATTCACTGATTTTTTTCAGATTATAAACTCTTATCTCTCAGAGTCCTCTACCTGGAAATTACAAATTCTTCTTTCACTTGCATATTAATACTATCTTTGTGGGGCCAGTAGATGACGTGGTGGTTGCGGTGCTGGACTCCCATATGGTTAACTATACTGTAAGTCCCAGATTTGGAGGCTTCCTTTCTCACTTTCCCTGTTTCTCTCTTTGTCTGGTCAAATTTACAAGTAATAATAGTAATAAATAAAACAATTTTTCATTAAAAAATGATTATTTTTATTAATTTATGAGATAGCTTACTGCCTTATTTTTAATCAATACGTTTTTCTTCAGACTGTTTCTCACAGTAAGCATCATAAACAATACAGTACAAACCTGCAGAATAACCATTGGAGCAGGTTTCAAATGTTTACAACATAATATAATGTTAAACTCTGAAGGTGGTGAATATGTTTATATACTGATTTGTTTATTACACACTGTATACATGCTTTTAAAGACCACTCTGTACCTCACAAGGATATATAATGATACAAGTAAATTGTAAATTACAATAACTATCTAAAGAGAAAATAATAAACCAGATAAAAGTGGGACAAAAGCCTGTCAATGACGCCATCTACCTAGCAGTTATGTTTCTTGTGACAGAATTCTCCACCCTAACTTCTTAGATTGGGTGAGATCATGCTCCTCATTATGGTGCAAAGAGTGAGAGGGCTATGGGATTTATGAATGGACAATAACTCAGTGACTTGCAATGATTTACTGTGAAATTTATGACAATTCAATATATAATTTTATCTATAATTAATGCAAATACTATTTCCTCCACTTGAAAGACTTGTTGAATTTACAAACAGAGATTTAATAATAGCATTTTCCTCAGTGGATATATTAAAAGAGAAAAAGAATCTTACCTAATTTATGATGCATTTTGTTCTCTGGGGTCATTATTGATCTTTTTACTCTTGAGCTGTCTGAAAATTCAAAAATAATTATTTTGAGCAATGGCTACTAATTCCACGTCAACTTTAACATGTTACTTGGTCAACTTCAGCAATAAGTATTGGGTCACTGAAAGTCATGACACATTTCTGCATAGAAAAACATAGAAAAATACATCATGACTTTCCTAATAACCTAATATTTTAAATAAAATTTGAGCTGAGGATACACTTTAAACTGAAAAGTGGCAAAAGCTTTCATCATTTTGTCAAATGAGTCCATGAAAGCAAAAAGCAAAAAAAATTATTAAGAATGACTGGAGGACTCCTCCACAGGAACAGAGAACTACTGTTTTCAGGGAATAAGAGAAATGAAGATTTTCTGCTAAAAATTCACTCTCCAGATCCTATTCTCAAATGGAGAGGCAAAAAAGGCAGGCCTTCAGAAGACTGACTCCTCCATAGGGGCTGAGAACTAGTGCTTTCAAGGAATAAGAGAAATGAAGATTTTCTGCTGAGAATTCATACTCCAGATCCCATGCTCAAGTGGTAGAGCCCCCGGACTCTTTTCCCTGCCTCAGTCTTTTCATTTTTAAATTTTTTTCTTTAATTTTTTAAGGTAAAGTTATTTTCATGGCTCTCAGATCCTCCTTCATCTTGCTGACAATTCCCTTTCCCCCTTCTCATTTAGGAAATAATTTTTCCCCCTCTTGGTTCTCTCTCTCTCTCTTTTCCCTCTTTCTCTGTATTCTTATCCTTTCTCTTTTACTTCATCACTTTGCTGCTCAGCCTTCATACACTGAGTATCTAGACAGGTCTAAGTGAACCGTAGTCAAACATGTGAATACTATTAACATCAACATATTCCTTCCTCAATTCCCACTGAATCTGCCACACAAAGGGAGAAAAAGGGAACAGCAAAGAGATTGCAGATCACCTCCTCCTGCACGCTTCTGAATGCTCAGACTGAGCTTCTAGAATTTAGGAAGAAACAACCCATCAGATGACTAGAAATCACTGCAGGGGCACAAGAAATATGAGAAATCAAGAAAATACCTCTCCCCCAAGGGAAAAGAATAACTCCTCTTCATCCACAGACAATACAATAGAACTTGTGAAAATGTCTGATAAAGAATTTAGAATATTCATAGTGACAAAGCTAACAGAGATGCAAGAGAAGAGAAACAATGACTCCAGAAGAGGCAGGAAAAAAGATCTGACAAGTTCCAGGAGGTGAGGAAGTTCTTGCACTATCTGAAAGAGGAAATACACACCATAAAAAAAGAATCAAAGGAAACTATTAGAGATAAAGGCTACAATACAGGAACTCAAAACCTCCCTCGAAAGTATTAAAAACAGACTAGATCATACAGAAAATTTAATCTCAGATGTAGAAAACAGAATCACTAGACTAGAAAAATTTACCACTAAGACTTAAAAAATAGACTCCAAAAATGAGAATAGTATACGAGAAATACTAGGTACCATTAAACGTCCAAACATCTGGAAAATCAGTATCCCTGAAGGTGAAGAAACTAATAAGGGCATTGATAATTTATTCCATGAAATCCTGGAAGAAAACTTTTTAAACCTAGAGAGGCATTCAAATATCTAGTCCCAAGAAATACAAAGGATCCCAAATAGAATCAACCCAAGAAGAGCTTCTTAAAGACACATAATAAGCAGATTGACCGAAACCACAGACAGAGACAAGATACTAAGACTTACAAGAGAGAAATGTCAAATTACCTACAAAGGACATCCCATTAGGCTAACAGCAGACCTCTCATCAGAAACAATGAGAGCAAGGAAAGAATGGTAAAGTATTAAATAAAAAACAATCTCAACCAAGAATACTATACCTGGCAAGATTATCCTTCAATATGGGAAGAGAAGACAAGAACATTCTCAGATAAACAAAACCTTAAAGAATTTACCAACACCAGACCAGTTCTCCAAGAAGTTCTCAAGGGATTGCTATTTTGGGAAAACTAAAGTCAGACACACAGAAATAAGAGTTCAAAAACAACTAAGAAAATAGCTAGCTTAATGGTAGGGACAAGTCTGGAACTGAATGTTATCTTCCAGTATTTAAATGGAAAGATTAGAACACAACAGAAGATAGATAAAGAATTTTATGGCTTTTGACTAAGACATTACTGATCTTCTATGCTTTGATCTCCAGAGTTAAGGATTTCTGTCTTGAGTTGTGGACAAGTCCATGTACCTTCTATTTGAACAGAATCCTAAACTGATTCCTGGCTTTAAGTCTTAAGCAAATTCTCTTAACATTTTTTTATTTTGATTTATTAAAGCTAAAACTGCCTTTCTTGAAATTAAAAAATATATTAAAAATACTTACTTAATCACCACAGTAAGCTATACAGCCTCAACTAGGTGCTACTTTATAGTATATTCATTCTACTCTCAGAGTTTCATGGCTAAAACCAAATGTGTGTTCATAGATATGTATATATCAGTTGAATTTCCTATTGAAAATAGTTAGATTAAGAAATTTTGTGAATCAATAAAATGTGGAAAAAAATTTAAAAGGAATGGAAAGCAACTGCAGATACCAGAGACAGTGGAAGGAGGGTGGAATATGGCAGAGGGTGAGAAATGGGGAGGAAAAAAAAATACACACACACACACACACACACACACACACACACACACATATAAAAGAAACAAGAAATTGAAAATTATTTGTTGATGATAACATGTGTGATTAAGCTACTATACAGTGTATTCTGGATGGGAAATTGCATTTTGTATGCTGTAATGTTCAGTGAGTGAATGTAAAATAAATAAATAAATTTTTTTTAAATGACTGAATTAGATACTTTATAAAATTGCTGATGTGGAAGAAATTTCAGGATGACAAAAATCAAATTTCCTTGTCCATACTGTCCATAACTGGCCAGTCCATAGAGGTCAAAAATAGATAAGTGGTTGCCTAGGCCTGTAGAGAAGGAACCAGAAGCTAGCTGATAAAGAATATGAAGTTTCTTTTTTGTGGTGATGAAAATGCTCTAAAATTAATTGTGGTGATTACTGCACACAATTGAATTGTACAATATAAACAGGTTAATTGTACAGTGTATAAATCTATTGCAAAAAAAAAATCCAATTTCTCATGCAGTCTCCAACAGAATAAATCTGGATTCTGTTGAAAATTTTCCTAAAGCAATGTGCTTCGAAGGCAGCGGATGATGTTGTTGAAGTTTCTCATTATGTGATTAGTAGTTTATAAAAATAGGAGAGGAAGTCTGTACTAAACAGGAACTGGGAGTGTTGATGAGAATTTTTTTTCTTTTTCTTTTTTTTTTTTTTTTGAGAGACAGATTTATTATTATAGGGCACGTGACCTTACTAGAGAGACAGAAAGTGTGAAATCATCCCCCTAGAGGGATGGCCATGCCACAATCCAGTCCCCTCCATTCTCCTCTCGAGATTTTGGGGGCACACACACGTGTGCCTGGCCTGAGTTTCAAGGCACTTGGTCCAGGACTCAAAACTGTCGTCAGCCACATGGAGTCCGGCACCTTAATCACTATACCACGTGCTAGTTGCCAAACTCACTGTTTCTAAATATAACTACAGAAACAGATATAGCTGCCTGTGTTATATATGCTATACATATGCATGTACGTGTGTGTGTATCTATTTCCATTCTGTCTTCTGAAAGAGCTTGAAGCAATGATACCCCAGTCACAAGAAGCACACTATGTACCTATTGGCTTGTTGAAAAAGTCACGTTGTATTTTATCTATATTTTTGTATGCAAAAACGTGTCATGACCTTTCTGACAATCCAAAAGATCTGTGTTTCTTTTTTTCCTCTTTAATTTTGCTACAGGGCATGGTGGAGGTAGATTAAAAAGCACCCTCCCAAGGGGGGATAGCCATGCCACAATCCTTACTCCCCCATTCTCTTCTTGGGATTTTGGGCAAGCACATACACATGCCACATATGTTTCTCAAGTCTCCATATCCAAGACTTGAACCAAATAGTCAGCCACATGCAATCCAGCCACCATAACTACCATGCTACCAGCTGGCTCTAGATCTGGTTTCTAAATGCCATCCTCCAATAAAGAGAGCCAGGTTCTTTAGGAAAAAATAACTGATTCTAGAGTTCTGTCAGAAGTAGCCTGAAATATCTTATGGCCCCAGAAAAGCAATATTTGGAGACCAGCAGTTAGCGTAATGGCTATGCCACTGGACTCCCATGGAGTTGACCGCGGTTCGAGGCCCAGACCCAGTGGCTTAAACTCACGCCCGGCATGTGTGCATGCGTGACCAAGATCCCGAGAGGAGAATGGAGGAGAAGGGATTGCGGTGTGGCCATCCCCTCGGGGGGTGATATCTCGCTTTCTGTCTCTGTGTCTCTCTCTGTCTTTCCAGCAAGTGCATGCATCCTATAGCAAAAAGCGCTCAAAAAAAAAAAAAAAGGCAGTATTTGAAGAATGAGAGATACATAACAAGAGCACAGAGATCAGTTAAAAGAAGAGCCCTGACCCAATGTAGCACAATTTGAGCATGTGAATAAATAACATTAAAAGATTATAATAAGCCTATGGAAGGCCCAAGTCCAGCGTCAGGAGTACAGTCAAGTTGGTAACAGAAAAGGCAAGGAAGAGGACAACCTTGGCACCAGAGATCACCAGCTCTAGAGGGTGGATTTCAGGATTAGCAAAAGATCCTGTGTGTTTATTACTAGTAAAAATATATATTGATATTTTTAAAAAAATAAACCTCTGGAGTAAAATTTGAACCCATAGTCCATATGGATATAAATAAATGAATGAATAATGGATAAATGGACAGGTTGTAACTATTTCTCATAGTAGACTTTCAACTAATTAATGGAGAAAAGAAATTAGAGAAACTGAAAATAATTTGCATTAGTGGCTCACGATTCAAACTAGAGCTCCCAATGGACATTCAGATTGGTGAATGAAGTTGATAATGTTATTCAAACAGTAGCATATACTATCAATCCACAAAGTAATTTATCAGTTACAAAAGAACAAAACAGTGTCTTTGCAGTAGAGAATAACTTGAACAGTTGATCAAGACTAACTTCATTAGTAGGAGATAGGTCAACACTGGGTGTTTCCTAATAGCATTCCTGTCAAATATGCATGGTACCCATTTGATCATGAAAAAACAACAGAAAGACCCAGGCTGAAGGTTTGAAGACCGAAAAGTCCATATTCTTTTAAAATGTCAGTATCCAAGGGGAACTAGCAGTGAGCTTAATGGCTATGTCGCTGGATTCCCACGTATTCGACTGCGGTTCGCATCCCGGACCCGGTGGCTTAGAACTCACGCCGGGCACGTGTGCGTGCGTGCCCAAGATCCCGAGAGGAGAATGGAGGAGAAGGAATTGTGGCGTGACCATACCCCCTGGGGGGTGATTTCTCGCTTTCTGTCTCTATGTCTCTCTCTGTCTGGCGAGCACACATGCGCTACAGTGAAAACCTCTCAAAAAAAAAAAAAATGTCAGTATCAAGGAAGTTTGGAAGTGACTAATGAACTGTTTTCTTAAGGAAACTGTAGGGACATCCATGCAGTAGCAATCCATGACCAGTGATAGGATCCTGAACCAAAGGGAAAATGGAACACTGACAGAACTATGGATAAAATCTGAATGTAATCAGTGAATGAATTACAATGCTTCATTAATCCTCAGTTGGATGGTTGGAGAGTGTTTATGTTCTTGTCTTACTGAAACATATTTTGGGATATTTTAGGGAAATTTTATGTCATGTCTGCAACTTGTTTATAAACAGTTTAGAAAAAGATGAATAATAATAAGTATGTGCAAATATATATGTAGAGAAGCCAAAGTGGAAGATGGGACTTAACGTTGTAAAATGTGAACATCTCTGGATTTGGGAAGAAGGGATATAAGATTTCTATGTAAGCATGAAATAATTTCAAAAAACCTTTTTTTTTTTAGTCTTGAGGGCATGTGCACTTTGCAGAGAGGGACAGAGAGTGAAAGAGGAAAAAAGCACCCTCCCAATGGGGCATGACCATGTTGCAATCTCTTCTCTACTTCTCCATACTGTGAGGATTTGGGGCACACAGGTAAACAAATGCAACAAGTGTTTTTTTTCAAGCTGCTGGAGCTGGGATTCAAACTGTGATCAACCTGAGATCTGGCTCTCTTAACCATGAGGTCACGGAGCTGCCACTACTTCCAAACTTTTTTTTTTTTTTTTTTTGAAGCAACAAGCACAGAATAACTCCTGAATTTCAAAGAGTAAGGAATCCTAATAAGCATGAAGATAAAAGAAAACAGGTTATCCACAGAGGAAAAAATGAAAGGACTGCTTTCAATTTCTTACTCATAAGCATTAGCTATCATGGAGCAAAAGAGGAGCAGATAGTTAAAAGGAAAAAAAGATCATGACCAAAGATTATTTTTCCTACTTGACTGGTGGCTCATTGTGTTTTAAAAAAATATCCTGAGTTCCTGTTAACATATGTGAGACTGTCTACCAAGCTTTCAAAGAAGCAACAAGCATAATCAGTTGACAATAAGCATAAATGTGTTAAACACATTTATCAAAGGAAAAAAAACAGAGTGAGTCAAAATCAAATGCTGTTTTTAAGCCACTTTTAGTGCTCTAAGGTTAATATAAAAAACAACCATCCAAAAGAAAATGGAGATCACCCTATTAATATTAGACAAAACATATTACAAAGTAAGAAGCGTTTAACAGGATCAAGAACATAAATTTGACCAAAGCAGTTATATTCCACAGGAATGTTTACATGCTTAATAACAACACTTAATAACAACATAACAAAGACTATAAGAAATACAAGAAGAAACACTGCAGTGGGAACACTTTAAATCAACTCTCGCAGTCCTTTAACAGATCTAAAGGTAAGGATATTCTAATGATTAGACTAATATCAACCTTAAATCTAAGATCCTATTTTTATTCACACAAATCTGCTCCTTCCCTATAATCTTCAAATCAGACAATGATAATGCCATTCTTACAGGTTCTTAGGCCAGAAACCTTGAAGTTATTCCTGATACCTCTTTCCACTTATACCTCACGCATCCCATCTATCGGGAAACTCTGCTGACTCTACCTTCAAATATACTTAAAAAAAAAATCCTACTGCTGCTCTCCACCTTCTACTGCTACTGCCCTGGTCCAAACCATCAACTCTCATCAGAATTATTTCAATGTCTCACCAACTAGTGTCTCTGCTTCTAAACTTCTGTGCACTCCTGTCCCATAAGTCCACTCCCACATAAAGCAAACACAGATTCTATTAATACTGGTCAGGTCAGTTCTCTCCTGTCAAAACCCTCCAATGGCTCTCATGTCCCATTAGTAAATGTCAAAAGTCCTTACAATAGCCTTTAACACCCTATGTGACCTTTCATTCTGTTACCGTTATGACATCATCTTCTATTCCTTTCTTCTCCACTTCAGCTTTAGCCTAGAGCCTCCTTGATGTTCCCCAAGATTAGTCAACACATCAGAACCTTAGTTATTGATCTTCCCTCAGCCTCAGACACTATTTACCAGGCAGCTGCACTTCTTTCATATCTTTGTTCAATCGACCACTTCCTCAGTGAGGTCTTCTGTGACCATCTACCTAAAAACTGTAATCTCCACTTCCCACCCTATAATTCCTGCTTGCTTTATTATTCTACTCTCCACACCAAATAAATCATAAATTTTGCTCCTTTTATATTGTCTACCATCTTGTCCCTCCAACAGGTACACTCTAGGAAGGCAGAATTTTTCTTTAAAGAATGATTTAATTTTACTTATTATTTTTTAATTTGCTATAGGGCAAGTGCACTCACCAGAGAGACAGACAGAAAGAAAGAGTGAAAGCAAAAAAAGCAAGCAGCCAGGTCTGGGACTCGAACCACAAGTAGGCCATGGAGGAGGCCAGTCTACTTGCTGGTCCCAGTAGGGCAGGAATTTTTGCAAGTTTTATTCAGATATATTGCCAGCTGATAAAATAATGCATAGTAAGTATGCCGTAACAGTCCACAGATATGAGCCAATGGGTGGCATGGTGGTTGGGGTACCAAACTCTCACATGGCGGACCGTGGTTTGAGTCCCAAACCTGGTGACTTACTTTTTCATCACCCCATCCCCATCTATCTCTGGTGAGCACATGTTGCCTGTAGCAAATCAAAGAATGATAACAATGATAATAAGTAAAATTAAATAATTATTTTTAAAAATTCCACAGATAAGAATTGCATAAGTATTCAAAATATATTTAAAAATACATCCATTTGTATTATCAACAATATAAGGTGACATGGTTTTTAATCCATGTCTGTACACAAAATATTTCCTTTTTCAAGCACCCATGGAAAAATAATAAAAACTATACATAAGTACACATTGGAATACAAACAAAACTTTAGTAAAGTCAAATAAATAATACTGGCCAACTTCTCTAGAAAAGAGAAAGTAACTTCACACAATAATAAATTAAGCAAGGAACAAGTATTCATCCGTATATCAATTTATGCGATTGAAATTAATATCACCATTTTACATCACAGATAAGGAAACTGAAGTTAAGAACACTGAAATTTTTTATTTGTGATAACACAGCTAATAAATAATACTGCTGGATTCAATTCCAGATCCCTAGAAACCAAGCTCCTGAATGGTGCACTTTTTAAAAAGTTTGTTTATTGAGACCAGCAGATGACATGGTGTTACATCTCTGGACTGCCATGTGGTAGACTGTGGCTTGAGTCTTGGACCTGGCAGCTTGAAACTCACACCAGGCACAAGTATGTGCATACCCCAAATCCTGAGAGGAGAATGGAGGAAAAGGGATTATTGCATGGCTGTCCGCCCGCCCTTCCCCCCGAGGGGGAAGGTAATTTCTCTCCTTCCATTTCACAGTCTCTGTCTCTTTCTCTCAGGTGTGTGCACCTGCCCTAGAGCAAAAACTTCTAAAAAAATATAGGGCTGGCACATAGCCCAGTGGTTAAAGAAGCAAGAAAGTGCCAACGGGATAAAGAAATGGAAGCAAAGGGATTGTGGAATGACCACACTTCATTGAAGAGTGTTCTCTCCCCGTCTTAAGCATATGCATGTCCTCTGGCAATTAAATATTAACAAAAAAAATTTTTTTTAAATAGTGAAAATTGTATAATGAACCCAAAATACTCATCACTCAGTTTCAGGAATTATCAAAAGATGGCTAATTTTGTTTCAAGTATATTTCCTTATCAGCTTAACATTTTAAAATACTTGTATAGATATATTAGGAGCCAACATTTTATTATGTCCAACTGTAAAAGTAAAAACAAACAAACAAAAAAATTCCCAAGACAGTAGAAAATAAATAATAATTTACCTGAACTTTTCTGAACTTTCTCATCATCCACATCAGAATTTTTCTTTTCAGACATTAAATAATTTTTCAACCTGGATGGTCCACTGAAGGAACAAAGTAAGTAAATCACAAAATCTGTACTTTTATAATATATAAAATAGTTCAAGGAAAATGTACATTATGATAAAACTATGCATGAATTTCAAATTTTTTGTTCCAAAAAATTCTTTGTAAAAAGGATTCCCACATGGCTTACCACAGTATGAATCCCAGACCTAGCAGCTTAAAAATCACCTGCCAGGCATGACTCTTGAGAGGAATATGGAGAGGAATTTGCAGCATAGCCATCCCCCCTGGAAGATGATTTTTCACTTTCCCTTTTTCTATCTTTCTATGGCGAATGTACATGCCCTATAGCAAAACCTAAAAAATAAGTAAATAAAAATAATATGATATTACAGGTCACTAACAATATACTTACTTGCTGCATAAATTCTGCTCTATAACTGATGGCCAAACATAATAAATAGCAGACTTTGGGACTAGCAGATGGTGAAGGTTAAGGTGCTGGACACCCCTACATGGCCAACCACGGTTCAGGTCCCAGACCTGGTGGCTTGCCTCCTCTCTCTCTCTCTCTCTCTCTGTGTCTCTCTCTAGTCAAATTAAAATAAATGAATGAATAAATAAAATTAAATAATTCTTAAAAAAAAATAAATACCAAATTTTAGAATTCTAAAGTAACTCATAAATCAAAGATACAAACTTAGTCACTCAACAGTAACATTCTTTGATAAAAAGTGAAATTATAAAATAAATGTGTCCAGAAATCATCAGAGATGATTCAGGTTGACTCAGGTGAATCCAGCCCTAGATCTCTTCCATACTATTATAAAACTAGAATAGGCTTCATTATAATCTTACAACAAGTAAAAGATTTTTATCCATCCTTTAAACATCTAAGAATTTGCTAAAATTTAACATTTACTCATTTTTTAAAAGTCATATGACTTCAGATAGGAGTAGGTTAGTTTGATTACTCACTCTGTGTGGTCATTTTAAAATGTATCCCCAAACTCTCTCATACCCCTTCTCTTAAGAGATGGATCCTAATTCCCTTCTCCTTGAATATGATCTGAACTTAAATGACTTGTTTATTCCTACAAAGCAGTTGAACCAGGAGAAAGTGTGAATGCTACGGAAATCACAGTGACTTATTTTATTTATTCTTTTTTTTTTTTTTGGAGAGGTTTTTGCTATAGGGCGCGTGCACTCACCAGAAAGACAGCTTTCTGCAGATCTATCAAAGTGAAAAGTTTATAATTGTTTATACTTCTCACTAAAATATTTTTTCTAGAAGCAATACATGGAAAGGTATACACATGACAGAAAGTGAGAAATCACCCTTCAGGGAGGATGGCCACGCCACAATCCATTCTCCTATCAGGATCTTGGGCACGCACGCACATGCACCTGGCATGAGTTTAAGTTACCGGGTCCGGGACTCGAACCGCAGTCGACTATATGGGAGTCAAGCGACACAGCCATTATGCCATCTCTTGGTCTCCACTGTGACTTTTAATAGCTTAGTCTCTGAAGTTGTATACATACTGTCACTTCTACTTTATTCTGACCATTAAAACAAGTCATGTAGGGACTAGTACATGGCATAATGGTTACATCTCTGGAATCCCACATAGTTGACTGTAGGTTGAGTCCC